CGGCACCTGCAGGAACTCGGCCGCCAGCCCCCGCCACGCCATTGACCCTCCTCAGGTACACGTGGCCCCCACTACGGCGCGCTCTTTAACCCGCCTCCAAGCCCCGCCTCCCCGCCTTCGACCAATCCGCGTGGACGACGCTTTGTGCCCAGGCTGTTGGGGTGGGGCCTGAGGCTAGGTAACCAGTAGGAGGAGGAAGCGGGAAGCTGGGGGCGGGACGGGAACGGGGCGGGTGGAGCCTTTGGGCCAATGAGCAGGCCCCCCAGTCGAGCACGTGGCGGTTGTTGTGATGGTTGCAGCGCGCGCGGGAGAATGTGCCGCCAATGAGGAGCTGGTGGCTTCTCAGCAAGCGGCGGGGAAGACCAATAGCGAAGGCCCACGGGGCACTCTAGGGCGGGGCTAAGGTTACTTGTTAGTGGAGAACAGACGGGATCCAGGCTCCGCTGCACTGGAAGGGGCGGGATAGGGAGTGTGGGCGGGGCGGGAACCAAGAGGCCTGCGGTGCCCCGCGGTCCGACAGCCAGAGATGGTGCCACTTCGCCCACAGCAAGGCAGGCGCCGGCAGCATGTCCACATTTCTCCGCGCGCCCAGGGCCTCGCTAGAACACGTCAGCCGCTGTGGGGAGTCTTCCTGGGGGCCCGCGGGAGGAGGGGCCAGGTTGGGGACTTGCAGACCCCATGGGACCCGGGGATGCCAAGATGGGCTGGAGCAAGTGGACGGGCTGGAGAAGGCCTCATTATTTTGGTGGGAAAGAGAACTCCATTATTCATTCTGATGAAGGAAGTCAACTGTTTGGCCAGCCGTGGCTCCGTGGTTGAGCGGGGACCTGTGAACCAGGAGGTCACAGTTAGATTCCTGAACGGGCCATACGCTCTGGTCGTGGGCTTGATCCCCAGTGGGCAGCTGGTCAATGATTCTCATCATTAATGTTTCTATCTCTCTCTCTCTCCCTTTCCCTTCCTCTCTGAAACCAATAAAAATACATTTTTAAACTTTTTTTTTTTTTAAAGAAAGTCAACTGTTTATTGAGCACCAAATGGGGTCCACCAGCAGGTAAATGGAGATCTGTTCTGGCCTCACTGCGTTTGTGTGACATCCACCTGGAAAAATCCAAGTGTGGTGTTGGGGAGGAGGTCGGGCAAGGGGTCTACACGTGGGAATGATTCATCAGGAAATCAACGGCATTTGTAGCCCTAGGCCTGTGTGGAATGTCCAAGGGGCACAGCTAGACCACGAGAAGAGGCAGACACAGCTGGGAGGCTCGGGGAGGCTTGGAGTGTCGGGTGGGCAAGAACCCAGCCAGGAAAGGGCTTCGGAAGCAAAGCAGTGCGAAGGCCCCCGAGCCCGGGGAGGGCCTACAGGCTGCAGCCGTGCCAAGCTTCCTGGTGGCCAGGATACTCGCAGGCCGGAGGGAAGGAAGGTGGACGGACCAATGTGCCTTCATCACCGTGGGGACCCCAGCCTTAGACGTACATGTGGAAGGCGAGGGATGCTCTGGACGGGACCCAAGGTCCCCGAGGAAAGTAGATTGGGGAGTACCAGCCGAGAAGGTTCTCTCGGGTGGATCCCAAGCGGAGGGACCCACGAGGGCATAAGAGAGGTCCCCTGGAGCGCGGCTCAAGGAGCCCCCCACTCCGGAGGAGACGCTGGGAGCACTGGAGGGAGATGTTCATTTGGTTCAGGAGTAAAGAGAGAACTGGCTGAGACAGCAGGGATGGGACCAAGGAAGGGGCTGAGAGCCCACAGTCAGCTTCCCTTGTCTAGCAAAGCAGGCCAAGGTCATGTTCGAGGTGGGCTGGATAGAGTAGATGCCATCAAGGTGGAGGCATGGCAGCAGGGCGGGGATCCAGGGCCTCTGACGCCAGGGCGGGCACCTCCCTGTCACACAGGAGCCAGCCAGGGAGGGAGCCAGCGGGGGAGGTCGGATTTCTTGTCTGCATGGGGAAGGGGAGGTTTTCCTGCCTCCAGGCACTTAGCAGGGCTGGCTGGCCCTCCACTCAGGGTCAGGCTGGGGTAACAGAAGGGGCTGTCAGAATCAGCAGGGGGGCCTGTCTCTCCTGAGACGGGCCGATAAGGCAGGCGCCCCGTTTGGGGGTGGAGAAGCACATTCCTGGAGCTCAGGGTGGGGGCAGCCAGCTGGGCCAGACATCCAGGGAGCAACTGCGGGGTTCTACTGCAGACTCTCCCTTCTCAGAGCTTTGGGAGATCCTCAGATAGGGAAACTGAGGCCCAGTGGGAGGCAGAGCAGGGCCTGGGGTCAAATCCAGGCTTCTCCTGTCCTGTTTCCAGGCCTAGGACAGGCAAGTCTGGAGACACCAGGTCTACTTCTTCTCTGACCTTCTGGCACCTTTAGACAGTTATTTATGGAAAGAAGCCCTGGGTACCACATGTTCCCAGGGGCCTAGAGACGAAGGCAGGCAGTGTGCTGGGTGCTAATTTAGCCGTCTGTGCTAAGCCTGCCGGCTGGGCCACCTTCTCTCTCCTGTGCTGAGGGCTGTGGCAGGAGGAGGCCTGTGTTTCCTTGCCAAGATGACAACTGACCAGCTCCCAAGCTGCCTCTCTGGCCTCGTGAACCTGCCTGCTGCTGCAGAGCAAGGGGCCCCGGGATCCCCAGGTCTGGAGACACCCAGAGGACCCCGAAGTCCCCTGTCCAGGTTGTCCAGCACCCCCGAGTGCCCACCAAGCCTGCCTCCCTCCTCACTGGCCTCACACACTCGGAGAGACCCTGGCCAGCCGGTGACTATCCAGAAACCTGGGCCACCGCTGCCCCACTCCCAGCCCCACATCGAAGCTGATGCTCCCATGGAACTCTCCAGGCCTTCCCCGCCCCTCCAACACACCTCTTGGCCACCACCACCGCTCATTCAGGCTCAGCCTCTCGCTTCTGGGACTGGCCCAGATCTCTGGCTCATTCATTCATCCATTCATTCATTTTCCTCCTATCAGCCTAGATGTTCTGTTAAAAGAGGAGAGCAATCCCAGCCAGCAGAGCTCAGTGGTTGAGCACTGACTTATGAACCAGGAGGTCACGGTTCGATTCCTGCTCAGGGCACTTGCCTGGGTTGCGGGTTTGATCCCTAGTGGGGGAAGAGCAGGAGGCAGCTGATCAATGATTCTCTCTCATCACTGATGTTTCTATCTCTCTCTCCCTTCCTCTCTGAAATCAATAAAAATATATTTTTTAAAAATAAAATCACCCTAGCTGGTTTGGCTCAGTGGATAGAGCGTTGACCTGCAGTCTGAAGGGTCCTGGGTTCGATTCCGGTTAAGGGCACCTACCTCAGTTGAAGGCTCAAGCCTCAGCCCAGATTGGGGCGCGTGTGGAGGCAACCAATCAATGTGTCTCTCTCACATTGATGTTTCCCCTCTCTGTGTCTCTCCTCCTCCCTTCCACTCTCTCTAGAAATCATTGGGAAAAATATACTCAGGTGAGGATTAACAATAAATAAATAAATAAATAAATAACATGTTTGTTTGTTTTTAAAAAAAGAGAGAATAAACCTGATTTTTAAAAATAAAATAAAATAAATGAGAGAAGAGCAAGGGAGGGTGGTAGAAATGCCTCCGACTCCAAGAAGCCCTCCCTGAAGGGACCAGAGCCCATCTATCTTCTGTGAGGCCCACATGCTTAATGTTTAAATGTCATGTACTCCAAAGGCAACACATGCCTGTGGTAACAAACCAGGAGAATCAGAAACCAGGTATTTTTGTGTGCATGTTGGCGGCAGCTGCTTTTTCCTTTTGACGACACATGGTACCCCTTGCTGGCCCTGAACATCATCCATCCAGGGCCTTTCTTCAGGGGCTGTGAGCTCTGTGCCCACTCCCTTCCAGCACATGGACCCCCAAACCCAGGGTGAGTGGGCCTCTACTGCAGCTTCAGCCAGCCCCTCCCAGGAGCAGCTGTGTGGCCGTTGGCCCTTCCTGTCTAGGTCATGGGATATTTTTAGCACCGAATCCGGAACCCACTCGGCAGCAGCTGCTTGTGGCCGAGTGCAAGAATAACAAACGATCCAGGTGGGCTGCGTCAGGCCTGCGCCGCCGAGCGGGCGACCTGGGCCTGGCCCTCAGCCTGGTAGCAAAATCTGGACTTGGCGGGAATCAGGGGGCCTCTGGGTGGTATGGGCAGGAAGGAGGCAGAGGCTGAGTAGGCGTTAGCCAGACCCACCAGGGGAACAGCATGTGCAAAGGTCCTGAAGTGGCATGGAAGGACGGGGAAGGCAGGGGCCATGAGAAGGAGCTGCATGTGATGTGAGGCTGGAGAAGGCTGGGACCAGGCCGAACAGGGCCGTGCAGGCTGTGGCCTCTTTCCCCAGGCACGTGACAGACAGGGAATGAATGGGTCAAGGAGGTGAATCCACAGACCTTAGCACTTGGCAGAGAGAGGGCCGAGACGTGGGAGAGGCCCGGTTTGGGAGGGAGACCACCCACTGGTTTGGGGCAGGCCGAGTCTGGGGTGCAGTGGTGACATGACCGCCTCAGGGGAGCGCTCCCTGGCCCCCCCAGTCCAGTCCCCCCAGCTCCTTGCCCCCTGTGGCTCTTGCTATGCCCACAGAGGCTCTGTGCCATGTTCTCTCTATCCCTAGCTGCTCAGTGCTGGGCCCAGGCAAGCCGCAGACCTGGACTCCAGGGCTGGATCGGCAGCCTCAGGCGGGTGGTGGGCCTGGGCACTCCCCACACCCCTCCTCCAGTGCAAGGGGCCAGTTGGAAGAGTTCCTAGAGTTTCCTCCAGCTTAAAGGCTGTCCTCTACAGCGAGAACATTGGAGACTTCTGGGCAGGGGTCCTTCCTGTGACAGCCATGGCTGACGCGCCCCTCAAGGCCAGTCTCTGCTGTGAATGGGCGAAGGCCTGTGAGGGAGAATGCACTGGGGAAGGACTTTCTCCTGAGCCTATGTCCTCGCCTGCCTCCTCCTGAACCGAACTCTCACCTGCCTGGGGTCAGGAGCACCCATGGAAGCTGGAAGGGCAGGGAGGGAGGTGCTAGGGCTCCCCTGTCCTGCAGGAGCCCCTCCTCTGGCCGGGGGTGGGGGTGGGGGGGCT